GATAAAAAGATATATCTATAAATAGGTTTTTGGAATATTTAGGTCATCAACTGATCATTCTAGGATACATGTACAACAATAACATACCATGACATGATAACCGACTGTGTACTACAAAATGACAAGAAAAGCATTGATGCAAAGCATCAAAGGGCGTCCAAGCAAGAAATGCAGCAAGTGAAGATGAACTAGTACACATATGATGACAAGATATTCTTATAAACTACCAGAAATGTATACCACTTATGAATGAGCGGACGAAAGACATTGTTCATTATGAACTTTGATTGGCATGCTAGAGATTAGAATATTACTTGTTATTTCTTTATGATCGTGGTTATTAATAGCAACGGATATACATGTATGCAATCATTTATAATCCATATGTGTAACGCATGATCAACACGTACCACACATTTGTCCCTTATTATGTACATGTTATCGCTATTAGCGAAGACCCCCTTAAGGTATCTGTTCACACTTTAAGTTAGTAAAAATATGACACTGGTTATATTACCATGTTGATCATGTTGAGCATAATTGTTTATTATACAATAATTGTAATATCTATTAATTTTAATTTAAAAAAAAATACAAATTTTATGAATATTGTTTTCTTTTATTCTTTTTTGTGTTTATGTGCTATTTTAATACTGAGTTTTTACTACTCTTTTTTATTAAAATTGTAAAATAAATTTTAAGAATTCAATTGTCATATTGACCGACGATTATAAGTCAAAGCTTAACTGGAAAAAGTCAGTAAATTATGGTTTATCTTTCAATATATAATATTGTTTATTCTTAAACCATGTACATGTACATTGTATTTTTCTTTATCATTTTTTAAATTATCGATCAATTGAATAATTCATAAAATCTAATTTGTAACTTTGAATAATTCCTCGGCATCTTTACTAAACACGGATAACAAATTGAATAATTAAATAAAATGTTTCAAAGTTGATAATGTCATTTTAATACCATAAAAAATGTACCTTTTTCTCAATTATTGTACATATCACGGATTTGTACATATTTATTGTTTTTATCTCATATAGATAAAATGAAACATGCTATTGTTGTTTTTTTCTAATTGTAACGATATCAAACATCTACTCCAAAACCGGGAGAGACCGGACAATATAACGTGTGGTACTATTCGCCGGTCACTAGTAAATCCTGGTCAAAATAGACCGGGAGAGACCGGCATTTACCGATAGGAGTGATAAAAAGATATATCTATAAATAGGTTTTTGGAATATTTAGGTCATCAACTGATCATTCTAGGATACATGTACAACAATAACATACCATTTCATGATAACCGACTGTGTACTACAAAATGATAAATAAAAAACCCCGAAGAGCGCGATTTATTGACGGAAAAGGTTATTTCATTTGTAAATGTTTGCATTGCGAAAATTCATTGTAACATATCGCGACATTTCATTCTTATTTAATAATCAAGCACCCTCATACCGATCGGAATTTTCGGCTTTTATTATGACCGACTAAAAGGCTCGAGAAGTTGCTGTCGCCCTTTCACAAAATCTGATCTCATTCCATAAGAGCGCCGCGCTTCGGCGCGGACGCCAATAAATAAAAAACCCCGAAGAGCGCGATTTATTGACGGAAAAGGTTATTTCATTTGTAAATGTTTGCATTGCGAAAATTCATTGTAACATATCGCGACATTTCATTCTTATTTAATAATCAAGCACCCTCATACCGATCGGAATTTTCGGCTTTTATTATGACCGACTAAAAGGCTCGAGAAGTTGCTGTCGCCCTTTCACAAAATCTGATCTCATTCCATAAGAGCGCCAAATATAAAAAGAAATTTCATTTCACGTAAATCGTCCGAGAGGAAAGCACTATTAGTTCTGGTTTTAAAATAAAAAGTCAATTTTATGTTTAACGATATTTAATTATCTAGTATTATTATGATGTACACTGTACATATATACATGTATTGATTGTGTATATACAATTCATAGTCTATGAAATTAAGTAAACATTTCTGATAATACATATATTTCATGGTTTCGCCATTTCTAATGTTTTTCTGTTGATTGTTATTGCTACAAATCTAGAAAGTTTGCAAGTTCAATGTTGAAGAAAGTTTATTAAGATAGTTATGTCAGGCGATATATTTTCCGTTATTTGCAATTTTACGTAGCTTTCAATTCCAAAGACATCTGTTTAGTCTGATTTTTATTTTTTTTCTAGATTTCAATTCAGAAAAAAAAAAAATAAAAGTATTTTTTTGTATTTCTGAAATCGAAAAAAATAGGCGAATGGATGTCAATCAAGTGTCTTTAATACGGTATGAACATAAATGTTTTAAAATATTTTCAGTTTCAATTTTCGGTTCCCTTATCAACTTTCAACTTGAATCATGAATATATTTTTATTCAACAGGAAAATACAAGCATAATCTTAGAACGTTAACCATACACTTACAAATACAAAATCATAATGGTGATTAGAGAACTTGAACGTTTCTATTCTTGCCTTTTTATTTTGTTTTCAAAAATATTTGTGCTATTTTTTGGATGTTAACATACAAATATAAACATGAAGAACATAAATATAAAAATACGCTTTCTATGTTGTGACAAAATACAATTTTTTTTGTTGAGACAAAAATATAAACATGAAAATCATAAATACTAAATACATTTTCTATTTCTATTCTCTTTACCATTTTATATACCACTTTTGGGATAATGGAATAACAATTAAATACAAAAATAAACTTTTGAAGTTAACATTACGTACAATTCACTTGAAAGTAATATTGGTATAAAATGTTTATACTAGAAATGTTACACAAATTTTATATTGTTAATGTAGATGTACTTAATTTAAATTTAGATGAAGGTACTGCTTACTTTAGATAAATACTGTGACTACTTAAACGATTAACAGAAGTCGAACCACAACAAAACACTAAATGTCCATACACAATTTGATTCTTGTAATATCCCCCTTCTAAACTACAATGACAAATACGCTAATTATCTGTCACTTATTTGTCGTTTCCGATATTATCTGCAACATAAAAATAGTGAAACTAATATAATTCCATGATACAAGGGATTTTTATCAATTTTATTAACGTGACTAAAATAATAATTCTTTACAATATGCTGATGGTATAAATGAATTTATATCACCCTTCTTTTAAAACATTAAAACCCAATCTGCTTTAGAAGTTTTAAACAGTATTTATCGTTTTGATTGTAGCATAATAGATTACATATAATGCGAGATTGTATCTCGTAATGGTAAATTGCCGCAGTGATAACACATATTGAAATGTACATAATGGTTTAAAAAAATGCCTCCACAATCATCATTGTAACCGTTCCACTGATTTTATAGTTGACCACGTGGCTTATTATTGGACAAAATAGAAGCCAATTGCCAATTGGCAGGGATAATTTAATTTTGTAGAAAGCTAAACCTTATCGATCCTATAATATTTAGATATTACTACAGAACTAGAGTAGATCAGAAAACATTTTAAAATACATGTATAATACTCCCTAGAAATGCAGAAACTTTATGAAAATGAAAGCCTTTCATTTAAACAATTTCAATGAAATTGAAAACAATTCGACTACCTTTTTACATGTATATACTGTAATAAGCAACTAATGTTCCGTTTGTTAGAATGTGTTAAGATACTATCGAATTTGTAATTGTTTGATGAAAGTTTTAAAAATTCTTTAGTTAATCTAAAAGGAGATTTCAAATATTTTGATTGACAATTTCGCTGCATTGAAAACACTGAAATCCTTTCCAAAACTTTAAAACAAATGCTGCCATTTGTTCTCATAAAATATTGCAAGTAATATGAAATGACATTTAATGTTCAAGTATAGCATACTTGAAAGAGTACTTCATGTTCTATGTCACACAGCTTTCATTAGAAAATTTTGATTGGCGCTATCTCTACGATTGCATTTTAACTGCTCATCGTTTATGTGAAAATTTTTAAATCAATTTTGATGTATTCTCTTGTATTATACAGAAATTACTTGTAGATGATAAAGCAGTTCGTTGACAGATGTATTATTTCTGAAAAAAATATGCACCGAACAGTCAGACATTGATGGGTGACCAACACAGAACAATAAATTATAAATATCATTGAAACACTATTCTACACTAACTCTATTGTTTATGTTTCATATAGAAAATAAATATTAAAAGAACAAATCTTGGTGTGAGAAGTCATGCTTTATATATTTATATATATATATATATATATATATATATATATATATATATATATATATATATATATATATATATATATATATATATATATATATATATAGGTTTGTGAAAAATATTTGCATCTACAAAATACCTTTCAAAAACACTGGAACCAAAGAAGGATACAAGAACGTGGAAAAAAAAACAATAAATTTGGAGAAAATAAACGTTCATACAGTGCTAAAGTATAAATACCCAAGTACTTTCGGCGTATTATGCCTTCATCAGGGGTGTATTACATGTATAATGTGCACACAATCGAGCACAAAATCTCAATACGTGTGTACTGTATAGTATCAAAAATTGAACTGAAACACAGTCGCTAGAAAGGTGATAAAATTACATCGATTATGAATAGACCGTTATTGAATGGTCATTGTGTAGTACTTTACAAAAGAGAATATAGCCTGCGGTCAATATGGCATAAACTCGGTTAAATATATCTATAAAACTGTGTTTAAAAGAAAAAAAAAATATATAAATTAAAAAAATTTTTCACATATAAGGGCGTTTTGTGTTTTTATTACTATAAGTATGATGTAAGAAAATGCAAGTTACAAACAGTATGATGTTATATGAAGTGGAAATTTACGAAAAGGTGAAAGTAAAAACGAAGCTCTCAGGCAAGGGAAAAATAGCCCTCCCCGACACCGCCTGATGACTAAAGTTAGGTTTTAAAGTATGTCAAGAATGGGCGAGAATAAGTGTGTAAATTAGTCTCCTTTATTGATTCCTGATGGCTCTAGCGTATTCAGTCGGCGAATCCAGTATGTCTCGCGTGATTTCCGTGTTATATCTGACCACTTTGTGTTATGTTCAATACAACAGAGGGACACGTCTTTAAAACTGTGTCCCTCAAGGTGAAAATGTTCAGCAACTGGGGATCTGTTAAATTTTCGCGTTTTCCAGTCAGAGCGGTGTAAGTTCATTCGTTTATTTAATGGAAGTTTGGTTTCACCGACATATTGTTTGTTACACACTTTGCAAGAAATAAGATAAATAACGTTGGCCGTTTTACAATTCATTATGTCTTTGAGAGTTGTTTTGGCCCCTATTTTTGAAGAGAATGTTTTTGTAAGGAGCATGACAGCACAGGTTTGGCATCTTGGTGTGCCACATGGTCCGGACTGACCTTCTTTATCTGTCATTATTGGTCTCAGTTGGGCTCGAACAAGTATGTCCCTGAGGCTTTTAGGTCTCCTATATGCAATGGTTGGTTTAGTTGGGAACATCTTGTTAAGTTTCTGTGAAGACTCAATAATTGGCCAATGTTTGTCAATGATGGCTCTAGTGTTAGGTAAGTCTGGGTGATATGTGAGCACAAATGGAATTTTATTTTGTGTAGAACCACTAGATTGATGTTTGTACTCTAGTAAGACCTTCCTGTGCTTGCTGTCTGCATTTAAGATCGCGTTTGCAATGTCTTCTTCCTTGTATCCTCGCTTCCTTAGATGTTCAGACAGTTCTTTTGCCCTGATATAGAACGTGCTGGGATTTGAACATATTCGTTTGATTCTCAAAGCCAAACTGTATGGTATGTTCTTACAACAGTGTCGAGGGTGGCAGCTGCTTGGAAGAAGGTATTGATGTTTATCGGTGGGTTTTGAATACAAATCAGTAATTATATGATTGTCTTTAATATGAGATACTGTGTCGAGAAAAACATGTTGTTCGTTTGATACCTCAGTGGTGAACTTTATAGATTTGTGAAAATTATTAGCTCTGTAAAGAAAATCTTGCAAAGCTTCTTCCCCGTGATACCATTGCATGTCAATGTCATCTATATAGCGTAACCAACTGAATGGTTTAAGAGGTACTGCAGCTAGCAGTTGTCCTTCTAATTTGCCCATAAACACGTTGGCGTAAGATGGCGCCATTTTAGTCCCCATAGCCGTGCCCTGTACCTGTAGGAAATGTTTGTCACAGAAAACAAAGTTGTTGCATTTCAGAATAAGTACGAGAAGTTCGATAAGTGTTTCTGTGGGAGGATTCTTTATTATACGAGAATCCCATGCTTCTTTGCACGCTGCAATGCCATCTTCGTGGGGGATGTTAGTGTATAATGCAGTAACATCCATAGACACCAAAAGGGTTTGGTCAGGTAAATCTTTCTGAGATTCTAATTCTAATAATACGCCCGAAAGTACTTGGGTATTTATACTTTAGCACTGTATGAACGTTTATTTTCTCCAATTTTATATATATATATATATATATATATATATATATATAATATATATATATATATACACTTAACAAATCTTATAAGTGTGCACTTTTTATGTCCTTATAACTTTTTTGTTCATCAATATTTCTTTACAAAATTTTGGGTTCTGACTATTGGCTGCATTTCCACACTTTTCCCGTGCTCAAACTTGTCAAATTTGATTATGCGGCGCGTTCAACCGTGAACGTACAAAATTCACACAATGCACGAAAAAATTGTGTGAATGCGTGAAAGAAAATTGCACATGATATTCTCGAATACAACAGAGATCTACATATCAGAAAAACATAACATATGGGTACATTATCTATTCAACAGCGTGGCATAGCCCTAGGATTGGTCTACGCTGGAGTACACCAATCAGAGACTGGTAAAAAATAATTTGTTCATATAATTATTTAAACTCCATTGCATTGTAAAAGCTGAAAATCATTTAAATTCAGTTCCTTCCAAAGACGAACGTAATTGCATATTTGTTTTTTACTTTTTACATGTTTATATCATATGGAGGTCGCGCAACGCATGGTGGTCACCGCAATGTAATACCAAGGCTTAAGAAGGCTTATCTTCATTACAGAGTAACTGGCAGCGTTTATAACATTCCTCGCCGACCCCAAAATTATCTCCAACGGTATGTTACATTGATGCGACGACGCTCCAAGGCTGTAATGCACAGTCAGAGTGGCACACACGGTTTAAAAACATCATTTTGCAACATCGACTTTCGACACGCACTCACATTTTTTAGAAATGTATCGTAAAATTTATCTTGAATGAAAAAAGGAAACAAACAAAAATAATAGCCTGTCTCTTTTCTGTATTTATTGAACATTTCGGCATGATCGGGCAAATATTGATACACCTATGAGACCATTTATGCATGCACACTTATAAGATTTGTTAAGTGTATATATATATATATATATATATATATATATATATATATATATATATATATATATATATATATATATATATATATATATATATATATATAAATCCAATAACACTAAAAGTCAGTACAAACCCTAGACAGAGTGCTCGATGGTATCCCAGAGCTGTATGTATGGATTTATATTCAATCAACACATTGAAAAACACATTTTCCTTTACTAATTAGTTTCATGCGCAAAACGCAATCTTCAGAAGTGTAAATGGTAGTTCTCAATAAAGGGACGTAACTATGAAGTGTAAATGGTGGTTTCTCAATAAAGGGCGTAACTATATTAATACTGTTCATTTTTTAAAGTTGCTTAATAGATATTTCCTGGAATGTCTGCAGGTTGTTACAAGTTCGTTTCTTTTGTTAAGTTTAGCGTTTTCTTGTTTGCAGATAATGTAGAATTTCTCCCATAGGCACAAGTTGCATCGGTCGGAGGCTGGGTTGTAGGGTGAGGCTTGTTTTAAGATATTCCATGTTATGTTAAAGTCGATGTTTTCTTCTTTGAGTTCCCAGATATATTTACTTAATTCAGTGCTGTTTTTAAGCTTAGGATTTCTAAATGATGCTTTGTGGTTTGTAAATCGGGTTTTAAAGGTATTTTCTGTTAATCCTACATAAGTTTGTTTAGGCTTGTCGTCGTTTGTTTCCACTGTAGCTCTATATACAACCGATTTCACCAAGCATCGTCCTGACATGGGGCAATCTATTATTTTCCTACAATTGCATGTTTTAGGCTGATTTTTGTGCCCCCACGTTAGTGGCGGGCATTTAGATTTACCCTTGTCCGTCCGTCCGTCTGTCCATCCGTCCGTCCTTCCGTCCGTCCTTCCGTCCGTCCGTTCACTTTTGTGTCGCACGTAACTCAAAAAGTATTTGACCTAGAGTCATGAAACTTTACAGGAATGTTGATCAGCATGTGTAGTTGTGCACCTGGGTATTTTCGTCTGGATATTTTTAGTATTTTCAGAGTTATTGCCCTTGACTTAGTAAAATTTTGCAATTTTCAACTTGTGTCGCATGTAACTCAAAAAGTATTTGACCTAGAGTCATGAAACTTTACAGGAATGTTGATCAGCATGTGTAGTTGTGCACCTGGGTATTTTCGTCTGGATATTTTTAGTATTTTCAGAGTTACTGCCCTTGACTTAGTAAAATTTTGCAATTTTCAACTTGTGTCGCATGTAACTCAATAAATATTTGACCTAGAGTCATGAAACTTTACAGGAATGTTGATCAGCATGTGTAGTTGTGCACCTGGGTATTTTCGTTTGGATATTTTAAGTATTTTCAGAGTTATTGCCCTTGACTTAGTAAAATTTTGCACTTTTCAACTTGTGTCGCATGTAACTTAAAAAGTATTTGACCTAGAGTCATTAAACTTTACAGGAATGTTGATCAGCATGTGTAGTTGTGCACCTGGGTATTTTCGTTTGGAAATTTTCATTATTTTCAGAGTTATTGCCCTTGACTTAGTAAAATTTTGCAATTTTCAACATGTGTCGCAGGTAACTCAAAAAGTATTTGACCTAGAGTCATGTTACTTTACAGGAATATTGATTAGCATGTGCAGTTGTGCACCAGGTATTTTCGTCTGGATTTATTTAGTATTTTTAGAGTTATTGCCCTTCACTTAGAAAATTTTTGCAATTTTCAACTTGTGTTGCAAGTTTCTCAAAAAGGATTTGACATAGTCATTTAACCTATAGGCTGGTTGCTCAGCATATTTTAGATTTGCACCTGGGGTTTTGCTTGTGGATTTATCCAGTATTTGTAGAGTAATTTCCCTTGACTTAGTAAAAAGATTGACAGAACAGTGGCGCGGTGGGGGCACCCGTGTCCTATGGACACATTTCTAGTTTACTATTTCTTTGGAAAGAATAGCTTTGTTATGTCCGTCGATTATGTTTTTTATATTGTTCATGCAACTATAACTTAATTTGACTGTGTTTCTATTGAATATTTTGTGTAGCAAGTGTTCCTTGGGAAATTCTTCGTCTAGTATTTTCAGAAACGTTTTTCCAATGTTGGTTTCTACATTTTTACTATATGGTGGGTTATACCAGATTATATTTCTGCTTCTGTTTTTGCGATTCTTGGTACCGTTGTCAGTCTTTTCTTCATTTGAGTATTTAAGTTGGTGTTTATATCCTCTATTTGTAATAGACCTTTGGTAGATTGGTGTTTGCTATGTCAAAAGATTCTTGGTCATATGATATTTCGCATAGACGTTTGTTAATGCCTATGGGTATGTTCTTGATGATATTCGGTGGGTGGTTCGATTCGGTATGCACATATAACGGTGTGTTGTTCGGTTTGTTGTATGGAACATGTTTGCCATTCTTCAGGTTGAGTGTTACGTCCAAAAAGTTCACGATTTTTTTGTTGGATTCAATTGTAATCTTCAGGCCGTGTTTAGAAAAGATAGAGCACAGGTCTTTTTTAATGTTTTCAATTTCACGTGGTTTCGCATCAGATACACCTAGACCATCATCTCGATATAGCCCAAAGTTTTTTCCATGTTTCTGTGTTATTTCGTTAAGTAAATATAATCCAACTAACTCACAAGTTTCTGCTCCATCGAAGCTTCCCATAGTTACGTCAAATAGATTGGATGTCGCTTTCTTGCCCCATGGTTCACCTGACTTGTAAAGGCATGATTGTTTTGCATGTATAATGATTTGTAACAACCTGCAGACATTCCAGGAAATATCTATTAAGCAACTTTAAAAAATGAACAGTATTAATATAGTTACGCCCCTTTATTGAGAAACCACCATTTACACTTCATAGTTACGTCCCTTTATTGAGAACTACCATTTACACTTCTGAAGATTGCGTTTTGCGCATGAAACTAATTAGTAAAGGAAAATGTGTTTTTCAATGTGTTGATTGAATATAAATCCATATATAATATTTATTTTACACAAATGTAGTAACACAAACTGGCATTTTACGACGAATACTACCGGGGATATATAATGATTGTTCTTAGTAATATTATTACAGTATTGACAAGACGTAAATGTAAATATGGTAATATTGTAAACTTAATTTTTGTATAGAAAATGGGTTAATTCGTAAAGTTATTTTTTTATTTTATTTGCTTTTTTTTTCGTGTCAGAACAATACTTACTGTCTACATTACTTGCCTGATATTTTCCCGTAACTACTTTACAATAATAAAAACTTTTCATAAAATTTCTAAGATGAGTAGATATAATGCCAAAACATAACAGACTATTTCTGTCAATATGGTAATCTTCTAAAACTATTCATGTACAGATGGAGTTAATTCGTAGAATGTTTTTTTATTGCTTTGATCTCCCTGTCACACTTTTTTCGTTTTCACGAAAAAGTAAAATTTAATGACAGTTCAATATCTTTCATTATCCCTCGTGTACAGACTCAATTAAAGATACACTATGCACAAAATTGATATTAGAAAATTTTGATAATTGCTACACAGTCTCTTTGTAATTATAAAATAAACATGTTATAAGTGGTCACAATATAAATATATAGTGTCATTAAAAATTGGCAGTTTTTTTTACTTGGTTTAAACAATATTTAATTCTTCATCAATATTTACAGACTAAATTACAATATATAAATTGCATTCAGGATTGAGTAGAAAGCTTAGAGCTTATATGAAACTCTCTCCTGTAAAAACAGATAGTAAAAACATGAAATAGTTTTTGTAGCAACAGTTCATTGTACCTGCATTGAATTCCTTCCATAAATTTACAAGAAGATAATAAATACCTACTACGTATGACGAAATTTGTAAAGGATCATAAAGAGGAGCTGAATATGTCAAGTGTGTAATGCAATGCCTATATCAAATTTCATAATGATCATAATTTCTCGGAAAGTGAAGGTCCTATTTAAGAAAATTACAAGAATTAAAT